TAGTATAATACAAAGGATATTATGTAGTCCTTGTGTCGCTGCTAGGTACGAAGAAAGTAGTTATTGTTGTAGAAAAATATTAGACATTTTGCAAAAATTTTATATATGTATGTACATACGATTTTATAATAATTATTCACGCGAGGGTCCCTTCGTAAGCCATTCGAAATAAAGCACCTCGCGTTTCGAGGCGCATTAGGGGGTGTACAAAATATTGGGCATGCTTAAACATACTGGGCCACCCTGCACAAAGTGCTGAACTAAACATGTTGGATGTGTGGGGGCCGTGTGTAATATTGGTTCCCTCGGTGGTTCTTTACGCTACTTCTGCTGCTGTTCCGTTCATCTCTTGGACTTAGGCATTCTCTCTCTTGATTGGAAGCCGTGATCCGATTTGGTTGTCCATTCCCTGGTAAGAAAAAGTCGGAAGTATAATTCAGCGGAATGTGCTTTTACTTGTGTCATTCTGCTGATAGAAGCGTGTTCTACGGGACTTGTAGAACTTATTTGTAATGCGTACTTGGGAAACATCTGCATGTAAGTCGTGATGTACACCGTTTGAGGGTATGGTACAACGCCAGGCAATTTGTACAAATGTTATTATCTTTGATGAATTTATACAGTTGTGGTATTGGTAATTTCTTAAATTGATCTCAATGTTTGAGCGTGTGTTTTCTTTTGCATAATTTGCACGATTGGTGGCTATTCTGGGGAGAAAGAATAGGTTTAGTTTCCTTAAGCGAAGTAGGAGAATTTTCAAGTTTATGTTCAACGCATTCTTTAATTTCGAATTGCCTGTAAAGGAGTTCTTTCATTTGTTGCCATGTTGCGCACTGATTTCGGGATACAAGAGATTGTGCGATTGTTGTGATTAGTGACTTTTCTGGTAATGCGGATGAACACATATTGGCCAGAATTAGGTCCCAGCTATCTGCGGGTGTGCCGAGAGTTTCAAGCACTGACAAAGAATTTGTAATTGTTGAGTATAAATTAATAAAATCCTCACTGGTTTCTTTTCGAATTTTGGGTAAGTTCAATAATGTTGTGACCTGATTGTCGACTAATTGGCGCTTGTTTTCATATCGGGATTTGGTTGCTTCACAGCACTAACTAACTTTAGTTACTCAGCAATTTTTGCTTTAGTGTTTTCATAAGTATCAATGCTAAATTGATATTTTCCGTCCGCCTGCACCAGAAAATTCGACGGGAGGTCTTCTTTGTGTTTTTGGGATAAGACTTCGTAGGCGTATGGAGCACGTTTACACTAATCGTAAAGAGAATTACTTTTAATTTTCAGAAGATTTTGTGAGATTTCCTCTATGCGGTAAGAGGAAAACCTGGCACAGTATCTTATTAAGTCATCATTTGTTGTGTCAAATATTTGCGCACACGGGTAGTGTGGTTGCATTTTGGGGCTTGATGTTCCATTTTGCTTTCAGCTACTACATGGGGAGAAGCAGCATTAGTGGGGGGTTGTACCTTAAGCTATGTAGGAGATTTCTTTGGGTGTATCTTGGAGGAGATACTTTCTTTCGGTGTTACGTAATTTTTCATTTACTTAAATACTTTTTATTAAAGTTTATGGTTTTTAAACAAGTCTGCACTTAGACTCGAAACACTAGTGTTGCAGAAAATCGGGTATAGTTGGGGACTACTTGAATATAAAGTGACCCAGAAGTGTTTACTGCTGGGTTGGGATGCAGTTTATATGTATATGCTTGTACATATACCAATGTCTTGTTTCAGCTTAGGGAAGAGCGAAGTAGATCAATTGATCTAGTAGTGCGCTGAGCGGCTTAAGTATATGTATGTGCGGTTGTGTATTCGCTGTAATGCTTACGCTGTGTTTGAAAAAGCACAAAAGAAAATATAAAAGCACAGCACAAGAAGGAATTTGTGCGTTTATGCTACTCTTTAAATACAGATATAAAACAGATTGTCGCCAAAATTTTATTGTAAGTATGTATTGTACATATGTTACATATGTCACATATGTTAGCAAAGTAATCGCGGGATTGGATGCACCATTTTGTGAGGATACTAACTTTCTAGTACAAAATTTTTTTTTTTCGTATGAAGTACAAGTAAAAGAAATTACACTGGAGAGTGCCGATATTTGGATATGTATGTATATAAGTATGTATGTACATATACTTAATTTGCAAACATCAAAATTCGAAATCTATACCTAATGCAAGCAAATCCTTCGTCTGGGTGATCGAGTATGGGTGTTTTGGAATTGTTGTTTTTGTGGTGACAACCTGCAAGTTGTTTTGTTGTTCGTATCAATTTTTGAATTTGAGTTTCTTCTTACACTCAGGGTGATTTCTTCTCGTGTGACTTATTTAAATTACTGATCGAAAAAAAGAGCTGCAGAGCTGAATAAAGAAGGTGCAATCTTCTTTAAGAGAGTACAACTGCTGGCGTTCGCCGATAATATTTACTTTATTGGCCGCAACAGCCGTGCCGTGGGCTCTGCTTTCTCCACACTGAATGAGTGCTACTTTGGAATGAGTAGCCAATAAACTCCTCTCCCGACGAATAAAGACCAAATTCTACAAATCGTTCATCGTACCCGTCCTGCTATATGCTGCGGGGGCATGGACGAAGACAACCACTGATGAGCCGTTAAGAGTTATCGAGAGAAAGGTTTTGGGTATGTGCTCTATGTAACATCCACCCAAAAATTAAGATTATTTATTCCTCTTTTGTAAATAGTCCCTTCTATTGCAAATTTTATTTGCTTATTAAATTTTTATTTAGCATTCATTAATGATAAAAAAATAAAAACATATCACTATTTTTTGCACGATTTCTCAGAGAGAAACTCTAATAAAAAGAAATTTCCGATTCATACAGCACGCATTTTGACCGTTTTCAGTTGCGCTTTTTGTTCAATTACATAACACAGAGAAAATAAACGATTTTAGTAGAAGCTAATAATATATTGAATTNAATGTTTACTACAAAGCCACTATTACTGATATTTAAAACAATGATATGTCTATATATACACATATACACCCACTTACATGCGAATTTGGCAACGAAAATTTAGTCATATCTTGTGTAAGGTAGAGTTGAAAGAGAAATGTACAGTGCAAGTACGAGTATATTGTATTTACTTCAAAATAAATCCAATTTTATTCAGTTAAAAATACTTTATGTTACACTTTTTTTTTAAATGGAATGGAGGTGGACGTTTTTCATAAATAGAAAGAAAAAAAGGTACATTAAAGATGACGAAATTTTGCTAATAATACAAAAAAAGTTTGTTCACTGAGAAAAGCTAGTAGAATTTATCCATCAAAAAATTTACATCTTAAATTTGAATAAAATTAGATATGAGATTTTATGTTGTTTATTTATATTGAAAAATTATCGTAATTCAAGAATGCTCAATTTAAAATATCGTCCAACATTTCATTTTCTTCCCTTCATTATCATTATTGCGAAGGTAGCAACAACCTTTTTCTAGGTTCCTTTGGTCTACAAACTCCTTAAGGCTGTTAAGAGTTATCGAGAGAAAGGTTTTGAGTATGTGCTCTATGTAACAATATTCATTAATGATAAAAAAAATAAAAACATATCACTATTTTTTGCACGATTTCTAGAAGAAAAACTCTAATAAAAAATTTCTCCAAATTTCGTGTGCTTATTAAAGTTTAATTGAGCGTTGCTTAATGATATTTTGCACAATTCACAAAAGAAAAACTTTATTATATAAATTTTAAATGATATACCTTCATCACCATTTAATTAGTCATTGAAATATTGGGCAATAAAAAATTAAATGTGATTAAGCAATTGACTATTTCTCTAATTTTTTTAGTCTTAGGTTAATTCAATTAGTTTTTTCACCAATTTACTCTTTTTGAAATACAGTACAACCATAATATCTAGTTCCTTATTGTCTTGGTAATAAATGAAAATATAAATAAAAGCATAAAATTATGTTTGGAAATATTTATATGCTTACATGTGTTCATACATATAAGCATATGTATATATAATATATAAAAAACTAATACGGCATTTCCACGCCACCGTGAATTAAATGCCTCGTCCTCACAATAACGAATAAGAATTATCCGACTCATACAGCACGCATTTTGACCGTTTTCAGTTGCGCTTTTTGTTCAATTACATAACACAGAGAAAATAAACGATTTTAGTAGAAGCTAATAATATATTGAATTGAATTGATAATGTAAATGCCATAATGTAGAATCCGAAAAAAATTTCAGTAAATCAACACATTCAATCAAAATTATCAAGATGCTTATAATATCAACAAATTTAATACAATAGGTTGAACAGTTTAGTTTCCTTAATAATTTCCAATTATTTTTCTTCTTTAACACACAAATAGTGTTTGGTTTGAATGTCTGTGTGTAAGTGTTTTCTTTAATGATTTTCATCTCTTTTATTTTGATTTGTCAGCTGATTTAGCCGAAATTTCGATTAGAAATTACAACGAATTACTTGTAATTCTAGGGCTATTGAGAATGAGTTACCCACTTCTACTGTAATTCGCTCTCAAAAATTTGTATGGCGAATTGAACAATATGGAATGTACTTATTTGGAGTGCGAATTACGATTGAGAGAGCGAAAGACGTAATTGGGCTGTCGTGAAAATGCCGTTACATATATTATATATGTACATTAGTGGGTTGGGCTACCTTCTTCTTTAGCTTTGCTGATCACTCAGGTGCACTCGGATGCAAAAAAATGTGTATGAAAGTTGAATTCCTAATAAGGCTAAGAAACTATAAAAATATAGGAGTGAAAAAAGCAAAAAAAATGACCAAAAATTTTTATGAACAGACAAATGCTTTGAGAAGAGTAACTATCTTCTAACAACTGAATTATATAAAAAATTAAAAAAAAAAGATTTCATCAATTTAGAATTTTCGTTTATATTTGAAATATTCGAAATTAATTTCAATTTAGATAATATAATTAGAACTAAAATTTATAAATAATAGAATATAACAATGAGAAACACGAGTTTTAATCGATTCAACCATTGCAAGGCGCTAATTATTATGCATATATATAGAATTAAAAGAATAGACAACATGGCATATTTGCAATATACATATCAATAAAAATATCATCAAAAGACAACATTGCAGTAGTAACGTAATATGATCAAATAAACTGATAACATAACAAGATAATAGAGATAATTTAAAGCGTGCTTAATGGACAGGTAACAATTTAAACGAGTCAAAAGCAGTAAACAAAAAAAATGTAACATTTTTAATTCAAAACACTTCAAACTGGGTACTTATACCATAGACCGTAATCAGTCTTCTTTTAGTTAAACGCGTGCTGTGGTGAAATCCGTACGTGCGTTTTTAATCGGTGCTTAAAAATATTTAATATTCAATATCACAACACCTCTAAATCTTAGCTGAGTTTTTTTCCTATAACGTTCATGTAAGTGTTATTTCGCTTTTGAATAAATGTTAAAAAAATTATTATATTCACACTTTTTAAAGCATAATATGTTTTGTAAATATATACATATATATATGTATATATGTATTGTTTATACTCGCTTCGTATTCTCAATTCTAAAATATATACTACAACATATTTAAATTGCGTCCTGTGATTAATCGTGCATTCACATAAAAATACATTGTCAGCTCAATAATTTTTAAAAACCAGTTTGAGTCTACATTTATTAGGCAGCCGAAAAATTAAGTGGATATAATTTGACGTGAACATCATTTCAAATTTAAGATCACGTGTCATTTCTCAATATTAACTGTTAAATGAGAAAAGCAAGTAATGCAAATAATTAATAAGTCAAAATCAAAATAAGATATGACAAAAAAATTTGTATACAAATTTTTAAGATTCTTAATGTAATGCATTTTTTTTAATATTATTATGTTTATTATAGTTTTATCACACTGAAGCCTCAATATTTTGAATCAAACGCCAGTATTTCCTCGAAAAGATTCCAAATTCGTGTATATGTGCAAATGTATGTACTCGTTTGTATGTATATATTTGTGCTCCACCTTTTTAGTAGTTTTGATATATGTGTTTTATTTCGACCATGTCATGTCATTTTCGGCCTTGTTGTCTTAACTTGCAACGAAAATTACTTTCAAACAAAAAAAAATATTAAATATTAGCATATCACTATTGACGTCAATAAAGGATATACGTAATGTTTACTACAAAGCCACTATTACTGATATTTAAAACAATGATATGTCTATATATACATATATACATCTACTTACTTGCGAATTTGGCAACGAAAATTTAGCCATATCTTGTGTAAGGTAGAGTTGAAAGAGAAATGTACAGTGCAAGTACGAGTATGTTGTATTTACTTCAAAATAAATAGAAATAAAAAATAGCACATTAAAGATGACAAAATTTTGCTAAAAATAAGTTTGTTCGCTGAGAAAAGCTAGTAGAATTTAGCCAACAAAAAATTTACATCTTAAATTTGAATAAAATTAGGTATGAGATTTTATGTTGTTTATTTATATTGAAAAATTATTGTAATTCAAGAATGCTCAATTTAAAATTTCGACCAACATTTCATTTTCTTCCCTTCATTATCATTATTGCGAAGGAAGCAACAACCTTTTTCAAGGTTTCTCTGGTCTACACTCCTACCTATGTTATTGTTTAACGTATGCCTTTAATATTTAATAGATCCGTCGATGCCATTTATTTGAATTCAATCAAATTATATTTCCCTACTTCGTTTGTTAATGTATTAATCATGTCAAGATATTAATGTTATTTTAATTTAAGAAATTTTTTACTCGTGGACTAAATTGATTTAAAACAGATTATACTGGCAACCTTTTTTTACGGAAAAAATCAAATCGGGCTGCATTAACGTATTGGCTCTGAATTCTCACTTGCACGAGAGTTGGCTATTTGTTCTCTTACATTGGCATTAGTTGTCAATTGCTCTTCTACTTTTCTGTTCGTTCAGTGGTTACGGACCATTGCGCATTATGAGAACGTCGACAAGAAAATAATAGATGTACCAAAAATACCATATGTTTTCAGCAGAACTGCCTTTTACGAATCTCCATTCAGATATGTGTTATATAGAGCATAGCAGAATGAATGACTGGAATATCTGGCTGCAGCGCCATCTGCCGAAATTCTATGTAAAACGCTGTAATATAAACAATATCTGGCATGACGACAGCGCCGTCTACAGGAATTCTATGTACGACATTTATAATTAAATAAATTCATTGCTAAAACATTTTTAGTTGATCGAAATGTGAACGTAAACCATCCTAAAACCCCCTTGAATACACACAAAAAATGTCATCAAAATCGGTCCAGCCGTTTAGAAGGAGTTCAATTACAAACACACAGACAGAAGACTTATATATATAAAGATATTATCCAATAGAAAGTGACGCTTTGCTGTCGGCATTTCGCAATGGCGTTGGTTTATAAGGAAGGTTATTGATTCATGAATTATATTTTTCACAAATTAAAGAGACGTTTGATTAATAACTTTATTAAGTTATACATCATTATAGATATATATATAAGTTATTTCAAGGCAGTACCATAATGATTTAGTTTTTTTCGATCTCTTTGGATAGTTTTCCGCTTTGGTACTGCCGCCGAATAAAATACTTTATTTTTTTTTGACAATTTTATTTAGAAGTCCATTCACTAATTTCACAATTATACCTCTTGCCTGACCTTAAAACTATGCCCGCTTAAGTACTTTTTTAGCGACGACATTTTCAGGTACGAGCGCACGATTTTATTTCGGCTAACTCGAAGCGTAGGCGTGTGAGAAAAAGTACTTAAGCGAAGTGTTGGATCAATACAGCAGCAGTTGATTCATTAATGCAGGCGGTAAGCCACCGCCGCATGCCAATAAACACAGTGCCTGCTTACAACAACTACTGATAAATATTTATGTAAGTATGTCTGTTTGTTATTGGAATAACACACAGGCGTACATACAATACTCACACTCAACGCTGGTATATTTAACTCCCCCCTTCTTAAGCTCGGAGTGTCCCTGATACGACATATTCTTTTATTTAAAAACTAAATATATTAATTCAATTTGATACTTATAGTTAGTTACATACTTGTTGGTTAAAGAAAGTCATTTGGACTTTTCTATAGAAAATTAAATTAGAGCGAAATGCATAGATAGGTGCATACGCGCGTATGTTTACAACTACGAATTTTTTACAACTTGTTTTTGCGGCCATGCTGTATATTAATTTTATTAAGTAATTTACGAGGCCTGGTTGTTTGTATGAATTGAATATTTTGTTATACAACAAAGAAAAATGGTAGAAGCCACAGCTGTTTCGGAGACCACCACATCTCCTCATCAGACTTCTTATGGCAGGGATCGAACCAACGGATCCTGACTTAACAGGCGAGTGTTCTACCACTGCGCCAACATCAGCCATATAATCTATTGTTGTATTATTCAATTCATTATTTACCAACAACTATTGAGTGCGCTAATTTAGCCGTTATTTTCTTAACAGCTTGGTTAGTGAGTTGTATTGGAATCCTCTATACTTTCAGGCATTAATTGACTGAAAATTGTACAGGCAGGATTAAGTATCAGGTTCAACTTATATATTTATAATTTGTTTTTGCGGCCATGCTATATATTTATTTTGTTAAGTAAACTACGAGTCCTGGTTGTTTGTATGAATTGAGCTATTTCGGAGATCACCACATCTCCTCATCATACTTCTTATGGCAGGGATCGAACCAACGGAGCCTGACTTAACAGGCGAGTGTTCTACCATTTTTCAATGGTGGAATGTATTGTGCTGTTATATTTATATAAGTTCAGTATGGTCAGTTAGGTTTTGTTCGGATTTTACGTAGCGTGCTATTTCTGTTACGGTGGAATGACAACATTCTATCTGTCCATTGCTTTTGCTGTGCAAAGGCGGTACGAAAAACTGGTCTATTTTAATATAATCTCTAAGCATATGGGATATTGTTTTTGATTGAAAAGATTTTTCGTTGTCCGATACCAGAACTCTAGTTTTGTTAAATTTGTTGAGTAAAATTAATAGCGCATTTCTTATGTCCATGGTTGACCTTGATGGTATTGAAAGAGTTATTGCAAATTTGGAAAATTTGCAGATGAATGTTAGGAAATGATTTTGGTCAACCGAAAATATATCGATATGCAGGATTTCGCCTGGGAATCCTGGGACGGGAGTTTTTCCATTTTCCGGTCTCGGTGGGTGTCGTTTATATTTATTTTCCAAATAGATTTTGCAATTTTTAGATATCGTCATTAGAGTTTTCCTTATTTCAGGAAAGTAATATTCATTTGTGATTTGATTGTAATTTTCAGATATTGAACGGTGCTCGGTTGTTGTGACCTCTGTTTGGTCGTCCTTATTGACTAGATTAATTGCTAATTTTTCTGTGCGTAAAAATTTAATGCCGGGGAAGTGGGATAGTATTAAGGATTGGATTCTTTCTAGTTCAAATTCACAAAAAATTCCATTAACAGCTACGAAGCGTTTGTAAAAGATATTCTGAGGAATTGAACAATTGTATGTCGGAGAAATTTTTCGAATGAAATTTTTGTGATTTCACTATAGAAATCGGATTGAAAAATTAAAAACTGGGTTTTAAACTAGTTTACTGGACACTTAACTGTTTTTATAGCATCGCTAGAAGATGTTTCGCTATGGGCTGTATGTATTGTCGCGACAAAGCATCAGCTACAATATTTTCTTTACCTGGTTTATATAAGTACCTAGGAGAATAAGAATCGATAAAGGCAGTCCACCGCTTCAGCTTCGAATTTGGATCTTTTCCGGATAATACGTGTGTCAATGGTCTGTAAAGATATAAATATCCTTTACACCGTAAAGGCAATGTCTCAGATTTTGGAAAGCTCATACTATGGCAAGTAATTCTCGCTCATTAGTAGCGTAATGTTCCTCAGTTTTTGAAAGTACTTTTTCCTTTTGCTGATACTACAATCCCAAGAAAGTCCTCTTCGTTTTTAAAGAATTTGGATTTCTGCTGCTCCTATATATTTTTAATATTAGGTCAACACGTTCAAAATGTGATGTCTCGTCCGGGGAGAATATGACTATACCATATTTCGCTAACGTATTCTCCTAATATATCAGCGAAAGGTAGTCGGCAAAACTCACTCTTCTTGTTATTCTGCGAGAAGAAATTGGTGAAAGCCTCACTTAAGGTCGAGTGTAGTAAAGATTTTGGATTTGCCCAAGTTTGCGAGGATTACTGAGGTATACGGAATCGGGTACTTATCAGATGATGTTTTTTCATTTAGTTTTCTAAAATCTATTACCAACCTTAACTGCTGGTTGCCCTCGTTATCTAATCCCTTTTTTGTAACTACGTGTATTGTTGAATTATATGACGAATGAGATGTTTGAATAATATCATATCTAAGTAAATCTGATATCTCTTTATTCACGAAAGCTATTATGCTGGGATACAGGTAGCTTCATGAATAGATAGGTGCCTCTGTTGTTTTTTTTTTTATGGCTGCTACTACGCGCGTATTGAAAGGAAGCCTTCTGCTTGGATTGGCAAATGTTTTAAAATTGTATTTAACTAGGTCTACAATATTACTAGGCATGTCCTTTCTATTGGGTATTATAGTATCTACTTCTCGACAGCAAAAGTGATGAAGTTTTTCTTTTCCCTTTTTGTAGAAAAGAATCCTATCCCTTGTTTCTATTCGGGCTTCAATTTCTCTTAGAAAATCGCATCCGATAATTCCGTCGAAACTCTTTAGCTGGGGTAAAATATAAAAAGTTGTTTTTTCTCCTAATATAAAAACCTGACATTTTTCGTCTACTTCATTTAACCCGTTTATGGACCCAACTTGAAATGGTTTATCTATTTTTGTTATACCTTTGAAGAAGTCTAGTTTGTTTACGTAATTTTTAGAGGTGCCCGTATCTATGAGAAATTGAAGATTTCGCTCCTCCGAGAGTGACTAGCTGACGCATATGTGTTCGATTATGTTATAACTCTTGTGCTATAGCAAGCGCAGAGGATCAATCTGGGGGACTTGCGGAAAACAGAGTATCACAAAGAGGCATCGCAAGTCAGAAATAAATACTCGGAGAGCTTTTTCCCTAGCTCGTTCATTAAATGCTGAGGTCAATGCTTCTTTACTGCAGTTTGTCATTGTATTTTTGTTAAATATTAAAGTCAATTGTTTGTCTACTGCTTCGTAATATTCGCCTATGGTCAAACGTCCCTGTCTTAGAGTGTTTAGTTCGTTTTATAAAATGTAGAGGGACCGTTTGTCAGCATACAATTGGTCTAATCTAAAAATTATTGCATTGAAGTTGAGAGGTGTGTTAAATGAACTTAAGTTTTCTTTGGCCGTCTGGGTAATTTTATTTCGAAGAATTCCAATGGCAACGTAGTATTCCTCAGACCCTTCGACGTAAAAATCTTTCGCAAATTTTGCGGCCGTTCTCCATGCTGGGTATTCCCTTATGTAGCCTTTGAATTCTGGAAATGACTTTATATGACCAGGTGGATAACTATCGACCTTTGGTGGGGAAATGTTTTGTAAAAGCTCTACCTTAATCTTTTATTTTGTCGTCTAGTTCAGTTTTAACGGTGTCTACGACTGACTCTACTAAAGATAACACTGCATTGCGTTCCCTTTTGTTAAATTAAGTCAAAACGCGTGTATTATTTGAAAACAAATAACAACACAGACAACTTTTTTTTTGGTCTTTGTGAAAAATGATTAAAAAAAATAAATGTGATTGGTTCGATATTTAAAATTTTTTCTTTTATAAGGTTAGAGTAGCTTACACGTACGTTGGAATTATTAACATTAATGTGGTTTTATAATAACTTACGACTTGCAAACTAGGGAGATCTTTTCTGTGTTGTTGCGTTTGTCTATCGTATTTCAGCTTTGCGAATATTTTGGATAAGTCAATGTTTTGCTTCTCATAGGTTCTGATGATGTTGCGTTGGTAAATTTTGGTTAAAGGTTATTTTTCAGTGGTAAGTATAGTCTGTGTATAGCTAGTTTTTCCGCGTGCAGCGTTTAGACCGAAGTCGTAGATGCGTGGTAAATTCACTTGACTTAAATGTTTTAGCGTTGATGTTCACGCCTTTCGTGTTAAAAATTTGCGTTCATTCGTTGTTGTTGTGTTTAGAGAACTCCCACCTTTCGTTCTCTTGCAGTAATAAATTGTTTTTGTTTTTTTTTCTAGCTAATCAAATATTGTTTGGTAAGTGTTTTTAGGGTTGCTTTAACTAATTCACTTATTCACTTCATAGTGAATAATTCGACGATTTTTGGTCGTAAAATTTTTTGTAATAACATAACTGTTTATTGCGTTTTATTTACGCTAAACAAATATTGTTTGGTAAGTGTTTTTAAAATTGCTTTAAATAATTCACTCAGTCACGTTTCATTAGTAAAATTTTTCATTTCGACAACGTGGATCAAATTATTTTTTCCACAATGTAATATTTTTGTTACACGCTTTTCTTCTTAGCAGTTTCTTGTTTATTGAAATAAGCATCATTAAAATCGCTTAGCACGCACACAATTCGTTTGTTGGGTCACTTAGGCCCCACGTTGGGCGCCAGCTATTTCAAGGCAGTACCAAAGGGATTTAGTTTTTTTTTCGATCTCTTTGGATAGATTTCCGCTTTGGTACTGCCGCCAAATAAGACACTTTATTTTTTTTTGACAATTTTATTTAGATCTCCATTCACTAATTACACAATTACACTGCTTGCCTGACCTTAAAACTATGCACGCTTAAGTACTTTTTAGCGACGATCTTTCCAGGTATGAGCGCATGATTTTACTTCGGCTAACTCGAAGTGTCGTCGTGTCAGAAAAAGTACTTAAGCGAAGTGTTGGATCAGCACAGCAGCAGTTGATTGATTAATGCAGGCGGTAAGCCATCGCCGCATGCCAATAAAATGCAATGTCTGCGTTGTACTAATACTGATAAATATTTATGTAAGTATATCTTTTTATTACTGGGATAACACACAGGCACACACGCAATACTCACACTGGTACTGCTGGTATATTTCTACTGCTGTGTTAACTTATATGTTCGTATGTATGTATACATCATACAAAATACTGACCTGCCTCAAAAATTAGATGCTTTATGCATACATTTGTACAAATGTATGTATATTCATATTCTAATATGCAAAAACATAAACACACAGTATTTGCATAAAAACAAATTATTCCATCCCTCTAAATACTTCCTTGTCTAAAAGCTCAGAACTGAAATCAAATTCAACAATAATACTTTCAGTCATAGACGCCTGCGCCCTACAATATATCAAAGTGCATTTGTACGCTGAAGTGAAACAAGTCGGCATCATTCTGTTAAATATGCTGTATGCCTATTAGCTCATATTGTGAAGCAAGTAAATTCAAGTTCTCCGTCAAAGTGGACAAAGTGCAAAAATTATAGATTTTAGGGATGAAGTGCGAATCCCAAGCTAAGGCCCAAAGAGAGAAGTAGAGGCGTGCTCGTGGACACAAAGAAAAAGAGACAGATCCCTACGATATTTTCATTCTGTCAAGTGAATATATGCTTGCTTTTCTATTTTTATGCATATGTATATGGCCTCTCGTTTCGCGCGCATATTTAAACGATTTTTGCGAATTCAATCGGCTTATTTTTGTTTTGGTACGAAACTTCTTTTCGCCATCATAATTGCCCCGCTGTGCTACGAAAATGGCGAGAAATTTGAAGGAAAATGTAATCTGGATGTGGCACCTGACTATTCACCTCAACAAAATTTTTCAAATTGGTTCATAGTTCTTTTCCCTTCTTATTAATATACTGTTACGATTTTGCTGGATCAACACCGATGATTTTCTGAATCCTTCGGGTACGATCTCTGAACTGTTAAATAAAAACTCGCCAACTTAATTTGCAGTTTCTTTCGTTGCAAAAGATTTATCTAATGTCCTTTATTTACTCAGTAATTGACAATTTAATTACAATGCACTTTACTAGCTACAATCACTTGTATAAGACTTTCACAGTTTACTTTACTTAAATGTAATCTCCAACGCGTTTACTTTACGACTCTATACTGATGTTGTCGCCAACGAGCTCACTTTGTAACTAACTAACTTGGTAAATGAGTGTCACCCTTATATAGCAGTCGGCTGCAAGTAGACGAAATCGTAGAATAATCGAGTTGTTCGCTATCGAAAGTTCTCGTTTTATCGTTCTAGAATGTACTAGTTATCGGCTTCTCTCTTTCATCTGACATTCGCCTCGCATTTTCGCAACACTGCCCTCCACCTAAGTCTGATCGACCCGATCAGACACATTCGCTGTTTCAAACTCAGCAAGCCTCTCAAGGTGGACCACTTTCACGGCTCACATCCAAAGTGATGCAGCTATGTAAGAGATAGTAAAATAAGTATTATTTAAGAATTAAATAAATCTCCCAAAAAACATGAATGCCAGTTATTAGCCGCAGATATACTCATTTCATTTATGCTTTAATGATTTAATATTTTATGTTTATATTATGTAATTAACAACAAAAACAAACTATACTATTAAATTGTACCTCACAGCGAAAATGATCCAGTAACCAAAAAATGGATACAATTTCTGATATAAGTATTAAGTAAACTAAAGGCGTAGTTATTTGTATAAATTGAATATTTTGTTATACAACAAAGAAAAATGTTAGAAAGGACAGCTGCTTCGGAGATCACCACATCTCCTCATCAGACTTCTTATGGCAGAGATCGAACTAACGGATCCTGACTTAACAGGCGAGTGCACTGCCACTGCGCCAACATCTTCCACATTATCTATTATTGTATTATTCAATTCATTATTAACCAACAGCTATTAAGCGCGCTAATTTAGCATCTTTTTTCGTAATTGCTTGGTTAGCGAGTTGTTTTAGAATCCTCTATACTTTCAGGCGTCAATTGACCGAAAAATGTATGAGCAAGATTAAGTAACAGGTTTAACTTATATATCCATAATTGTTTTTCCGGCCATGCTATATTATATAATAGTTTTTCATATAAGTATTAAGCAAACTAAAGGCCAGGTTGTACAAATTAATTTTTTTTAAAGTACTAAACTAAAATTGTTTGTTAATAAATTTTTAGTAGGATACCCCTTTCTGTCTATGACTGCTTTCATAAGGTTGGTCATAGATTCCACTGACTTATTCGTGTAGTCATTAGCAACATTGTCCCATTCTGTTTGTAGGGCTTTTTATAAGCCGGCTTGATTTCAGATCATATTTTCGAATCTCTCCTTCCAAAACTGACCACAGATTCTCAATCACATTCAAATCTGGAGACTCCGCTGGGGTTTGTACTATGTGCGGACAGTCCAAATTAAGCCAACTTTACACAACGCCTGATTTGTGTTTCGGATCATTGTCTTCATAGTATTGAAACTTGTCACGAATATTTAATTATAAGGCACTTTGCAACAAACTTCTTTTTAAAATTACTAAATACACAGTATTACCCATAGTACTATGGATGAAATCCGAATTTCCCCATGCCCTCCACCATGCTATGCAGTGCTACGTAAATTTTGCGGTTGCAACGCAGCAATAGCAAAACCGTGCATGGCGATTTGATTGTCAGGGTGGGCAAAAAAGGTAACTTCGGTACGACTGTTGGACAATTCACAATGAAAGATCCTCTAATGGGCTTGACGCTGATCGACATCGCCGGGGCCAGAAATATGGTAGTCTGTAGTACTAAATTCCTGCACAAAAAAATACATCAAGCTACTTGGCTGCCTCTGGATCAAAAAACTCTCAACCAAATCGATCATGTTGCGATAAACGGCAGACATGTCTTCAGTCAGCACTCATCAGCAGCTCGGTATACGGGACCTGTGTTACGGCATTTTAAGCTCTTAACGTAAAGCTGCAAACGAAACTATAGGATTTCGTAAAAATCGCAAAAACAGCTGGTAGCAGTGGAGAGAAAACAGACTGCCTACCTCGCAACCATGCGATCGACCACAACACGTGCGGGACGCAGAGATGTGTGAGAATAAAGAGCTTGAGAAGCTGGCCGGCAAGGATAATGTTCCAAATTCTACGTTGAAGATACGACGACTTACAGAATGTTTTAAGACCGGAGCAGACTCTTGTAGGACACAAAGAAGTGATATAGCCACCGATGCCCAGTGTTTATTGAATTTATGGAGGAAACACTTCTCCAACTTGCTGAATAGTAGTGAAAATGGAGAATCCGAAGATGGGGAACCCGAGACTCCAATCGATGACGATGGAAAAGACGTTCCATTGCCTGACCATGAAGAAGTCTGAAAAGCAATCGTCCGCTAAAAAAAAGAACAAATCGGTGGGAGCTGACGGCTTGCCGGCAGAACTTTTCAAGGGCTGACAAGATGCATGCATCAGCTACTTTGCAGAATGGTAGAACGAAAGCATATCCCACGATTGGAATTAAAGTGTTCTCTGTCCAATCCATTAAAAAGGGGACCCCAGAGGCTGCGCCAATTATCGTGGAACAAGCCTCATTAATAACGCCTATAAGGCCCTGCCGAGCATATTTTGTGAAAGACTGAAGCCAACTGTCAACAAACTGTGAAAAGAGGATCAATTTTAAAGGCAAAACTTATGCGGCTGTGTAAGCTGACGTTAGACAACACCAGAAGCGCAGTCAGAATTGGAAAGGACATCTCCGAGCCGTTCGATGCCAAACGAGGTTTCAGACAGGGTGATTTTTTGTCGTGTGATTTCTTCAATTTTATGCTGAGGAAAATAATTAGAGCTGCAGAGCTGAATAGACAGGTACAATGTTCTATAAGAGTGAACAACTAATGGCGTACGCTGATGATATTGACATTACCGGCCTCAGCGACTGTGCCGTTAGCTCTACGAAATATCTCCTGTCATCAAACAAACATCGTCGTAGATATTTTAGTCTATCTAGGACCCAGCATTAACACCAATAATAAGGTCAGCCTCCTAAGAATCCCACGCAGAATCACTTTTACCTACAGGTGCTACTTTGGACTGAGTAGACAATTGAAAAGTGAAGTCCTCTCCCGACGAACGAAAACCGAACTCTACAAGTCCCTCATCGTTCCCGTCCTGCTATATGGAGCATCTGATGAGACGGCGTTAGGAGTTTTAGAGAGAAAGTTTTTGCTTAAGATTTATGGTCTTTTGCGCGTTGGCAACGGCGAATTCTGGAAACGATGGAACGATGAGCTGGACGAGTTATACGGCGAGATTTATATAGTTCAGCGAATCAAGAAGAAGCGGCTACACTGGCTAGGTCACGTGATCCGTATGGGTGCGAATACTCCAGCTTTGAAGGTTTTCAATGCAGCACCCGCCGATGAAAGCAGAGGAAGAGGAATACCTCCACTCCGTTGGAAAGACCAGGTAGAGAAGGCCCTGGCTGTATTTGGTATTTCCAAAAAGAAGAAACGAATGTCGCCTTTTTGTAAATCGGCTATAGTCGCGCAAGCGGTGTCTGCGCCTGTAAAGTAAGTAGATAAGTAACGCAGCATTTGGTTTTCTCCATACATAGCCCTTTTCATTTCATCTAAACAGTTTGAATTTACTTTCGTCCGGTGTCCCAGAAACTTTTATCTGTTTATAAATGTTTTTTTTGGCAAATTTCAGCCTAACACTTCGATTTTTAGCACTGACTTATAGTTTTTTCCGGGCTGTACGGCCACAGAAATCAGCTTCTCTGATGATTCTTCGTATGGTTTCTGGGATATAGCTTTTTCCACGGTATTTGAGCTTTTCTTTATTCAAAGGTGGGGTATTAAAGTAAGGGCTTTCTTGTATTTTCCGTACAATCCATCGGAAATCACTTGCGTTAAATATTTTATTATTATCCGTTTTAGTTTTTGTTCAAGTCCACAAGGACTTGAGGGTAATTAAGGGGATGCCGGCTGTCGAGCGGGGCCACAGTGGAAATAAAAAGGCACTTTTTTCACTTTAAAAATTGTTTCTCAAAGTATTTTAATGAAAAATTCACCTTAATGTTACTTCACAAATTATTCACTTATAACTAATAACTTCGTATAATAACTTATTCAAATAACAGTGTCCGCGGTTCAAAGGCTGCCGTGCGCGAGCGAGGGTTGTTAGATTTAGAGTGGTTTTTCGTTAGCTCGAACGGCCGCCGCTAAGCGGTCGATCGGCTAACGAAATTTGGCCAAAAAGGATAGAGGAATTGGCGCGTGATGGGGCACACGGAAATAGTGGGAAGAGACGGGCAATTCCACGCGCACGGCAGTTACATT